ATAAAATTTAATAAAAATCAATCTAATTTTATGCTCTATTATGTGATCATATGGACTTTTTAGTTAATTACCTGTGAAAATAATTTTCTTTCATTATCTAAATATTTGTGCAATTCAATATAATCAGCATCAGTAAAAAATTGTTTAAACACATTGTCATTGTTTTAGCCATTAATACCCAACATTTCAACCAAAGCTTTATAGCTGAATTGCTTCGAGAAACTTCTGTGCGTTGCTGAAATGAACTAAGTTCAGAAGATTTGAAATGTAAAGGTTCTAAAAATCTATTAAGAATAAATGGTATTACTATAGCCAGATATAGACAATCTGATATCATAAAACTGTCAAGATGTGAGATAGGATTAGGCAATTTTTGCCATGTTTTTGGATATTCGAAAGATTTCCAAAATTTTATGAATATTGATTTTTCCTCCATTGAAAGCGCTTCAATTGTTATCTTTAAAAATCTTAACACTTTACCAGCTATAAGATGATAGACATTTTGTAGTGACTGAAGATGTTTTTCCCTTTTTAATCTATCAAGTATTGGTGGTTGTAAATGTAATCCATATTCAGTAGCAAGTTCTTTACATCTTTTTAATATTGATGCTAAAGAAATTTCTTCAAATTGACTATTAGACGATACAAATTAATTTAATTGATTTTTATATCCTGCCCAGGTCAGTAAAACAAGATCCGAAATTTTTTTTTTTAATATAATTGACCAATAGGATTTATCAATTTTAAATCACATGACAAATAGAAATGATCCAATAAATCTATGGATACTTACCAATCACATGCCCCTAACCTAACTAAATGTACTACTAATCACTGATCTTATATGCGATTTCACATGTCTATAGACTTTCCTATAAATAATCAAAATAACATATCGATTGTATATGAATATGAACCTTAATATTAATATGATAGTGATAGCGATATAAGATTTATTATAAAAAAATAAATTAAAAAAAAAATCGTGAAAATACAAAGTAAATATACTAAATACTATAGATTTAAAAATATAGTCAACACTATCTATTTCAGTCAGTCTATTCCTATATGCTTATCAGAATGTTATAATAAAATTTATAAATGTTCTAGAGCTTGTTAAGCATTCAGATTATCCAGGATTAGATTTGGAAGATTTGACTATATTAATAGATATATTTAAATGATTTATAAATAAAATCAAAGTTAGAAATTTGGCTTATTTAAAGACATTTTCAAGCATTTTTCTTGGATACATATCACTTTACCGATGCTCATTTTGTAGACATAACATTTCACTGACAAAAATTCACCAACAATTATTTCACCAACAAGTATATTTCACCAACAAGTTTATTTCATCGACAGTTTATTTCACCAAAGCTCATTTCAAATACAAGCTTTTTTTTATAAATCTCACCAACCTTAACTCTAATTCTAACCTAACCTTAATGACAATGACCAGAATTATTTTGTTAGTGAAATGAGCTTTGGTGAAATAAACTGTTGGTAAATGAACTTGTCAGTGAAATATACTTGTCGTTAAAATTATTGTTGATAAATAGTTGTCAGTAAAATATTATTTCTATGAAAGAAGCATCAGTAAAGCGAGCTGAACTGTTTCTCAATAAGTTTCGCTAGTGATCGAGATTGTGCACAAGCACTATGACTAATTTGCTAGAAAATTTATAGTGCAAAATGTGGATATTATATTTTAGCCAATTGAGACAACTCTGATAAAAAAAGATGGTCTTGATCATCTTTTTTTTTCATTACAATAATAAACTCAATTTTTTACTAATTAAAAATTGAGATCTGATCTATGAGTTTGGGTGCTTGAGAGCACCCTAAATTAACTAGCGTAACTTCATAAAAAAAAAAAAAAGATAGGCAGTTTTTTACTTTTTTCAATTTACTTATTGGGAGAAGCAATTGAATTATTTTGATTCTAAATGAATTGATCCTTTAATCCAGATATTAAGAAGCATCAAAGTTAGTTTTATATATAATCAGATGCAGATTCAATCCAAGTTTGATAGAATCCAGATGATTTATGAAGATAGAAACACTAAATGCTTGCTCTATAGCATTGTCTGCACTACTAATTTTATATAGTATAACTGTTGATGGGAGAGCTTAGTAAAATATTATGGAATAAGTACCAATTTAACTCCAACGGTGTACAGGGAGATAAAGATAACTTTGGGTAAGTGAAATTAAACTTTTATATGTGTTAAAGATCTAGTAGGGTGATATAGTACTTTAAAGTAATACGTTGATATCAAAGAGCGATGATATTGGGTGAAGCAATGATGGGTGATGCCATTAAGGGTGATAACAAAGATAATCCTAAAGACTGTGGTGATGATCAAGAGGTGGAATAACCAATCATAAGTATCATTCTCTACTACAATTCCCGCAAGTTACTAATGTGAATAGCAATATCTAATTCTACAATTGTTTCAGAATCCAAGTCTTAATAAGCCAAATCAAAGTTACCAGTCAATTCAGTCTGTCAAATTGAGTCTCGAGAGGGTTTATTAAAGTTACATGTCGAATTCAAAAGACAATACACAAGAGAAACTTCAGATAAGTATATATTCTTTATTAGTTATTAGGAATTGAAGGTGGATAAGATATAATATCATTCTTTATTAAATTCTAGGCACTTATATACCTTTTGGGTTGTTAGAGCATTTATACTCTTTTTTGAATGTATATGCTCTATTTTGAGCATGTACGTTCTTTTCTGAGCATATACGCTCTTGGCGCAGGGATCTACAACTTTGTGTAAGCATGTATATGTTCTTTTCTGAGTGTTTATGCTCTTGCATAAATAAGCCTCCAAGCTATCATCAATTACCATTTTAGTATACTTGATTAAAATATTTATATGATACAAAGAAAACATTAGTTACTGCTATGAAAATGGAATTTGGGAAGAACTATATACATAAGAATAAAGATATAACTATAATAATATGTTTATATAAAAATAAAATAAGATAAAATATAATATAATAAAAAAAAGTAAAATTTTATTTGTTACAATAGGTTTATATGTAAGAATAGACATTAGTGGGTATATATGAGTGCCATCAAGAAAAAACTTGCAAATCTTATAAAATTTATAGGTTTTCTCTTAGCAGCACTCATATATTAAAAAAGAAATATATAGCATCGATATATAAAAGTTAGTTTTGACTTCAACTAGTCAGCATTTATATAATCTTATTGTGAAATTATGCATCTAATAAATCTGATACAAATTAGAAAGAACTTTTTCTATTGTATTTTATAGTTATTTTTTTTAAAAAAAAATTTTGCAAAAAAAAAAAAAATCTATGTGGTTGTGTCACTAGAAACCAGTTCGTGATATGAAAATCAATTAATTAAATTTGAGTAAGATGGTGATAACAGGAAACTATTGATAAATTGAGATCATTAGAAGTTCAAGAATCTCTCATTATATTACATGTATAGCATTCTCTTAAAGTACCATGTCTTTTAATTCTAGCTAAGTCATTTTTTTGCAGCAGATCAGCTATCATATCCCCGAGACTTGCAATAACAAGACTTTTGTTTCTTTGCACATCCATTATGATTTCTTTTTCTAATTTCTTCATCTTATTTATAAAAGGCATAATGAAATCATTAAAACAACTGCCAAATGGAATGAACCCAATGACAAAATGATTTTTAAGTTGTTTTCTTTTATAAAAGATAAATTTCTAATTTGGATATATACACCCCCAAGTGAGTGATAGGTGTTGCAGTACATTCCAAAATTATCATAATAAAGGTCGATATATAACTTGTAAATTAGAAAGTTCATTTCTGGTATCTTTAGTAACGCAAATTCTGAAGGATGTTTGTAGAAATATTTGATACTTCTTAACTTTCAATGCCCTTGATATTTATAAAAAATTTCATGAATAAAAATAGAAAATAATATATTGATATTGTTTTTATTATATAAGATGATAATTGGGATGATTCTGACAATGCTTTGTAATTCGATAATTATGATTGAATCATCCAGTCCTCGATCTAATAACTACAGTTTATTACGAGACCTTTCTCTTCGAATATTACTTTGCAGATTATTAGGTAATTCATTAAATGTTAAAACACATTAAATCATTATTTTAAGCTGGCTATTTATATTTACTATCAATAGAATTCGATCAAATTTATTTTCTTTTCTTGGTTCTCTATAAACTATGAACTCCGAGGTAGCACAGATCTTCGACAGTACTACGTAAAGGATTATTATCAGAAGAACTAGCAAAACTGAATGGGACTGAAGTGTTTGGCAGCACTCTACCAACTAGGCCGCCAGAAGAGTAACCGGAGGAAAAGGACCCAACCGTGGGGACCAGGGCAGGTCATAGCCTTTCCGGGCTATCTGGATTAGTAGTTTGGATAGCTAGAGACACCGTAGAAAGTCTGTAACGTGTGGACCAGGATTTGGGTGAACTCTAT